TTCAAAAATTAACCTAAATATTTCGTCTTTACTTCAACGAACTTCGGCATACACAGACAGATATACTTTAATCGACAGGTAAAAACTAAATACCTTATAACATTATCTTCTAAAAGTTACGAATTCTAAAATTACTTTTGATTTGGAAAATATTGCTAAGACCTTTATAATACTGATAATTGAGAATTGAAAATTTAGTTAAAATAGATAATATACCGAATATAAAGAGGTACTTGGGAATATAAATAAATCATAAAGTGGACTTTTGTTGTAATTTTCTGACAAATGATTTATAGCCTGAAAAATGCTTTTGAGCCCTTCAAAATACCTAAAATTTAGAGCACATTTGGTCGACGAATATTGGGAGATAATATATATGAGGGATATATTTAAATGAGAAACATATATATCTACATATAAATTAATTCAATGTTAATTTATTTATTTTTTTAAAAATTTGTGATTGCTGCTTACTGCAAGCAATCACGTCTTTATTGGTTAAGGTTCCGGACTACAAAGTGAATAATGAAATAAAACTACCCTAACTTATACTTTGGATTCATGCACCCAGATGATACTGGACACCTGCTCGTGTTGGCGATGGAATGTTGCTGTCTGCCTGTTGGATGTTGTTGTCAGTGTTTCGGTGGGAACTGCAGTGTCAGCAAAATGACACGCTTATACTTTGGTTGATGAATTCTTTGGGTTGCTAATGTTGAATTTGAATATGTCTGGTGTTAACTCCTCCCCTCTTAAATACAATCGTCCCGATTGTTCAAAATGAATGAATATTGTAAATGCTGGATGTTTTAGTTTCTTTCGAAGTTGTAGGTAAATTTACTTCCGCAATCTTTATTTCATCTCCTGGGGCATCTTCGATTTTCAGATTATTATTTTCGGAGTTTTTTGCATATCTTCTTCTCAGTGATATTATTGTTATAGTTGTAAGGATTATTGCAGAAACACAACCGATGCCGACTGCTAAGGTACCTTTGGTTTCCATAGATTGTATTCGTTCGATGTTCTTTACGTTCAACTGTTTAAGCAGCTCCAATGATATTACTTCTTCTAATTTGTCTTTTGGACCTTTTGGTTGCAAAAAGCGGGAAGAGGTTTATTGGCACTTATTCCTCTTGAACTGTAACTGTGGCCATCGATTCTTATAGTGACGTTGAAATGTTTGATGAGATAAGTCCCGTTTAAAAAAATCTGCTCGTTGTCTACACTGATAACGCCTTGATATTGGTTCAGCAAGAGCAAGTCCGATCCGATCTCTTCAATTGTTGGTATGTGTTCGTTGTTTATTTGGGTGCATTTCCCTACTCTACTTCTGAACAAATTAGTTATACAATTATCATTTCTTAATGAAATAAGCTTATCTTTATTACAAACTGTTATGTCGTAATTACTTTTACATTCTGTTTTTATTCCAAATAATTCTTTATTACATTCCAAAATTTTTTCGTATTCAATTTTATCAATTACATCTCCAGTTTTTATAGGTTTTATGAAATATACTTTACAAACTTCTTCTTGAGTTACAGGGATACTAAGGATGTACAAAATTTCTCGTTTATTTGTAACAATTTTTACGGATCCAAAAGTTAATAGTTCATCTATCGAATAAGTAGGAATATTATATTTTTCAAAAACAGTGTTTATTTGATCGATTTCGATTTTAGAAAGCAGAAATGAATTGACGATATCAGCTTTAGCCCACTGTATTGCAAACTCTACGTTTTGTAACTCTTTTTCAATAAAATTAAGTTTCTTTCGATTTTGAATACTACTTCATCGTTCCACCCTTCCCTTTTTATCATTTCATTCGTCTTATTAGTTATTTCGGTTATTCTTTCCGAAATTAATTGGTTTATTATCAGCTGTCTATTGTTATTTTCCAAAATATTGCCAATTTTCTGTTCTAGGATCTGAAAATCATGACTATCTGGACTGCCTGCAATCCACTTCCAAGCACTTCCTATGAAGTCTATCGATCTTTTCTCTCTGTGCGGCATCAGACGGTCTAATAGTCCATTGATGTCAATTAATTGTTGCTTCATAAATGGACGGAGAGGATGGTCTAGGTTCACGAATTTGTCTAGAATGTGTTCGGTTTCACGAGTGAGGTTTTCATACTGTTCAAGATCTATTGAATGAATTACTTTAAATGTCCCGTTCTGTTTCCTTGCTATTCCATTATGAATTGAAATGAGTCTTGCGTTCGAGTAGTCAAGGATGCTGAAGTCAGCCAGGGCGTTTCCAGGAAACAATAATAGCAGCATCATTAGAGTCTGGAGTAGCATCCTTCTAGTACAGATGAGATGAGATGAGATGAGATGATCGTTTTTCTTAGTCCTTTCAAAGTTTTCAAAGTTTTGTTGTGTCCGATTTTTTTCACTTTTATTTATAAATTGTTAAAATATTTAATATTGTTCAAACAATTTTTTTATTTTAATTTTTATTTCTGTCTTAACTTTATTTTTATTTATATTCATTCAAACTTATTTAAATTGCTTTATTTTTTATCTCTTTTTTTTTATAATTTCTCACAATTGTTTCTCTTTTATTTCTCACTTCATTTAATTTACTTTGCATTTAAGTTTTCACAAGTTTTTTTTTTTTTTTTTTTTTTTTTTTTAAGTTTTCATTTTGTAATTATCATTTTAATTTCCTTTATTTTGATACTTTTTTTTTATTTTTTTTTTAAATTCTCACTTTTTATTTAATTTAATTTACTTTGTTTTTTAATTTTTCAGGAGTTTTTTTTATTTTCTTTAATAGTTTTTCATTTTTCACAATTCTTGTATCAATGTTTTTATTTTACTTTCACTTTTTTTAAAATTTTTATTTGTAAACTACCGTAATCTAGTGATCCGCGTCGCGGGCTTTAGGGGCTGTAACATAACGTTACGTCCTTTTCACAATTAAGTTACTGGGGCGCCATCTGAAGGCTTGACTTTTGTCGGAAATCCTTTCTTCGGGTTTCGAGTACTGTTTAAAAACAGGTCCCTGCTCTCGGGCGCCAATTAATTCAATGTTAATTTATTTATTTTTTTAAAAATTTGTGATTGCTGCTTACTGCAAGCAATCACGTCTTTATTGGTTAAGGTTCCGGACTACAAAGTGAATAATGAAATAAAACTACCCTAACTTATACTTTGGATTCATGCACCCAGATGATACTGGACACCTGCTCGTGTTGGCGATGGAATGTTGCTGTCTGCCTGTTGGATGTTGTTGTCAGTGTTTCGGTGGGAACTGCAGTGTCAGCAAAATGACACGCTTATACTTTGGTTGATGAATTCTTTGGGTTGCTAATGTTGAATTTGAATATGTCTGGTGTTAACTTATATATCTATAACATCAATCATCCTAATAGTAATATAAAAACCTGTGGAAAGTTTGAAAGACGCATATTAAATTTGATGACTTCTATCGTAATTGCAGATGGTAAATGAAGAGGCTCACGGACATAATTTAATCAACAAAGATTTAAACTTTTTAACATACTTTATGGGGTCCCTAATTTTTATAAATCCATGAAACTTTATTTATGATAGTTAATCCATCCAATGAGAACTTAAAATGCAAATTCCTTGGGAATGTAATCTGTGAAATACCGAATATGAAGAGCACTGTTATATGCGGACTATACAAAATAGTGGAGCAAATTGAAAATCTGGAAAGAAAAGGATTCATATCCTCGGAAAATTCTTCCGAAACCTTAAAAGTAACCTTAACTCACATGTAACGTTATACGGTGACTATGCGCTATCGTCAGTAATTACACTGCGGGAAATTACACTTGGAAAATTGTTTGGTTGGTGGATAAAAATCCCAAAAAGGGGTTTCGGGTCAAATGTTTTTAGGGTCCATTTTATATAGCTTAACCAAACACAAAGGACCACAAATATTTTGCTTTATACTCCGCCAAAGTTACGATAGAGTCCTAGGGGTTGAATGAAGAATCAGTTGTACAAAATATGTATCAGGTCGGTCTAAATTGAAGTAGTTCCTCAAATGATGTAGCCCCTTTCAAATTCCTCAAATGTTGGTAATTTGAGATTTTAGGAAGAACAACACATTCTTTCAAATAATTATAAGAATAGGACCATGCATTGGTATAACCCTTGTATGAAGGTATCCGCTGATTTCGGCTATTTCCAGCGTCTTGGTCCCATTTTTCAATTGATTTTACCGTTATTTGGCATCATAGCTTCTAAGGGGGTAGAAGACCTTTTCACGGAAATTTTTTGATTATATTTCCGAATCGATTTGGCTTAAAATGTGTGTTTAGGCTAATTTGGGGGTAGAGGAGCTATTAAAAAACAGTTAATGTATACTTTTTAATACATATAATCTATTATTTAGGTTTTGAACCCTCAAATTAAAACATCTGGCTGAAAATAATTATACTTTAAAAACTATGCATTAAGACTAAAACTACGGGCCGGCAACGCGGACCGGGCAAGCTATATAAATTAATTCATATTATTTAGGAAATATAATTCGATACTTTTACTAATTAATTATGAAAAATTATAGTTGATAGTTAAAAAATGTATCTTGCACTATGGATTTTTACAGAATATAAAATGTTTTAATGGCAAATTTTGTAAAAGCCTTAAATCTACAATACACCAATACGGTCGTTTTAATAAGTAAATGGAGAAACATTGATCGATTAAAATAATACAGGTATTACAGATCCCCGTTATGTCGTACAAAAAGTTAAATATACGTTGCAAATAGCGTACAACAGTTTCATTCTTTAGTACAAAAAATAAATAAATAAATAAATTTTAATCTATATTTAGCCTCATTACTGCCTTTATTGAGGATTTACACGCGAAACGAAGAAAAATCTGAGCCGATATCGATAAAATTTAGCAGCGATATTTTTAGCTTTATTTTTGTCCACCAAATTATTGGGTTTTTTTACATATTGCTCATTGTTCGAAATTGTGTTTACATATATTTCAATACTTGTATTTTTTCAGAGATTCTTGGAAAATCTGGATCCATTTAAGGGCATGTCTGATACAGATATATCAAACTTTTTGTATCACGAAAGTCTTCGAATTGAACCCAGAGGATGCAAACAACCGCCTAAATTTGTAAGAGACATTTAAATTAGATTTAATAAACATTTAATTATTATGTATTACAGCCTAGAAAATGGAGTTCTATATCACTTAAATCCCCAGGCATTAAACCCCGTCGACAAAATGTTAATAGTAATGTTAGTTCTACTAGCATGGGTTCTAATAACGCCCAACCAAATTCAACCAGTTGTATCCAACCGGTTACAGCTCGATCTCCTGCGGTAGAAATTCCCGGAGGGGAACAACCTTCACCGAATGTTAGTTGGTCTAACGCGGCTGCAAATGACATACAAGCATTCTCTGTTTTTGCCAACGTAAATATACCGGATCGTAACGGCACCAAGTGGACATCGACTTCAGTTAATAGCAATTCCTCTTCGTCGTTCTTAACACAACCTTTACCAATACGGAATGATTCTCGACAGTTGCCGGAGACCGAAGATGCTCCAATCTTACCAAAAAAACCTAATTCAGGTTCTTGTTTACAAACATCTATTTGTCCTACATTAAGCGATACATCTTCGTCGGTTCGTTTGGATTCCGTTTTTAGCATCTCGGAGGAATATAGCGGGCAGCCGGTGTCACAGTCAAGCTGTAATAGAAATGCGAAAAACCAGATTGGTATTGAAAATGAAACACCTTCCCCTTTACCGAAACTAGTTGTTAGTCCTTTACGAGAACATCATTATACAAATAACAGATCACCATTCCACTGCACAACGTCCACAAATAAAACCTCTAATTTCACTTCCTGTAATTTCAGGTAAGATTTAGTTATATTATTGTATTACTTTACAGTTTAATTACCAAAGTTTGTTAACAACCGAAATAAGTTATCTTGGTTGCCATTAATTCTGTTGTTGACTGCAAATCGGATTTCAATCTTATTATTTTAACACGAAATAAGCTAGAACTTTGTCATTCCGTTTGTAACTCCTCAAAATACTCATGTCAGACCCAACAAAGTATATATTTTCTTGATCGGCGTAAAATTCTGAGTCGGGTCCGTCCGGTCCATTGACTCTATTTGCCAGCAGCTCTATGGCCTTCCTGATAGCGAAGATTTCTGCTAGAAAAACACTAAGGTCGTTGTTTAATTTGAAGGATCGTTGGATACTTCACAGTAGACTCCGGCTCCCGTTCCACTTTCCATCTTTGATCCATCAGTATAGACAGCTATACCGTTAAAAGGTGGAGTGTCACGAGTCCAAATGTCTCTGTTAGGTATATGGATATCAAGTGGTTTAAAGCTATGCCTAGGTGATATATAGTCACTAGTTATAGCCTTATTTACTATACTTTCCACATATTTGATAATGGCGGAGTGTCCGAATGGCTGACCCCGCCATTGACCCAGTTCATTGAGCCGCAGGGCACACCTAGCAGCTTGTTCCTCTACGAACAAACCTAACGGGTTTAAATTGAGTAGGGTGTCTAGTGGGGATTGGGGTGTGCACCTAAACGCGCCTGTAATTAGTAGCGATGCAACTCTTTGGACTTTATCAATGCTTTTGCTGAAGGTGGTTTTCCCTAAGGAATGTCACCAAACAAGCCCCCCATAGGTTAGAATTGGTCGGACGACAGACTCATATAACCATTTGATTATGTGCGGCTTGAGAACCCAGCTTTTTCCTATGGAGTTTTTACAAGAATAGTGTGCAATTAAACCCTTCTTCGCACGCTCTTCGATGTTCCTCTTCCAGTTTAGCTTCTGGTCTAGGATGGTACCGAGGTATTTGGCTTCCGAGGAAAGGCTTAGCAAAACACTATCAATGATAGGCAGCGAAAGATCCGGTACTTTCCGCTTCCTTGTGAAAAGTACGAGCTAAGTTTTTGATGGGTTCACGCCAAGTCCATTGCAGCGTTCCCATCTGGTGAGTTTAACTAGAGCTCCCTGCATAAGATCTGAAACAGTTTGGGGAAATTTCCCAGCAATCAGTAAGACAACATCATCGGCGTAAGCCACGACCTTTGTCCCACCTTGTTCCAGTTCGATTAGAATTTCATTTATCACCAAAAGCCAGAGTAGTGGTAATGGTTGCCCCTAGTAACAGATTTCCTGACAGAACACTCCCTGATGCTTGAGTTGATGATTCTGATACTGAGCATGGCATCAATCCAGTCTATTAGGTGTGGTGGTATACTAAGTTTTACTAGGGAACTGTGAATTGCTTCGAGTGTGACGTTATTGAAGGCTCCCTCAATATCGAGAAAGGCTGCCAAAGTGAAACACGAGTTGTTTAGGTTTTTCTCTATACAACCCACGACCTCGTGTTGCGCTGATTCAACAGATCTGCCTTTAGTATAGGCATGTTGAGATGTGCTCAACGAGGTCAGGGATATCATAGATCTAATCTCAATGTCTAGTAGTCTCTCTGAATGAATATATAGCCCAAAAGATCTTGGGTGCGCTTATAATCCTCTCAGTCAGACTAACATCCTCCACCCCACGATGCTGACTAGACCGATCTAACAATTGGTCATTTACCGCATCGGAGCAGTTCGGAAAGTGAGTATTGGCAAACAGGTTGAGTGGCTCTAGACCAGAGTCAGTCCAGCTACCGTCATTCCGTTTTATGCAACCAATGGATTTGGGGTCCTTTGAAAGCACTCTGCTGAATCTGGATGCTGCGTTGACATCTTTTATGGACGTTCCCCTGGGAAAACCAACTCCATCAGACGGTCCTCAATGAGAAGCCAACGACTTTCGCTGATCTTGCCTCCGGCTCAGCTCGGTCGATGACCGCTACACGGAGGTTGTCCGGGTAGGTGGTTTGGGAATGTTTCCTCTTCCTGTTAGGTTGGCTCGAACGCTGCGGTTTGGCGGCTGCAGGTTTAGCAATTACAGACCTAGGGCCTGTAGGGGCTGCCTGAGTCGGCCTAGCAACGTCCTTCTCGCCAACAGCAAGTGTTGATGACACAGGTGGCGGAGGAGGAAGATTACCCGTTGACAGCTTCTTTGCTTCGGGATGCGGTTCCTCAGTTGACCGTCCTCTCTTTAGTGTTAACCACGAGGAGGATTTGGTTTCCTTTGGAACCACCGAAGCATTGTTTCCGTCAGTGGTCTTCTTCTTCCTTTTCTTTTTCCGCTTTCCTGCGTCAGACACGGTGGAAGCGGCGCATACTTTTGTCGATGGTGCAACAGCCGAAGCTGTTATTCCAATCTCAGGAGTATTACTGCTTCCCACCCCAGCCTCGTTCATAGGTTTGCCCCCAACAGGACTCACCTTCTTCCCGAGGTCTGTAAGGAGAGAGGCAAGTTCCCATTCAAGAGAAATTTTTTGCAGTTGCGGATAATTCTTTTCGAATTTCCGCACTGCCTTTAGATTCGTCTTGATCAGGTCCTTTCCCTCTCCGTAAACTGTAGGGGGTCGCGGCCAATGAAGATTTTACGATACCTCACCGACCGTTTGTAGCCCCTCCTTGCTTTACACTCTTTCGATCCAGAGTCGTCGCGGTTGGTAGAGGCACTAGTGCCTCTTTCCCCGACGCCTTCCTTGACCCGCACGTTGGTAGCATTGCTCCGTGTGCTCCGATGAAGTCCCTTCGTCGACTATAGGCCTCACCTCGACACGGGTATGAGCAACCTCTCCAGTTTCTTGGACTGGTTCCTCTCTCTCAGATGAGGGTCTGTGTATTCTTTCGCATACCACGTCTCTGTACGTCAACAGAGTCTCGTCCCCACCCATAATTGAAATCTTGTAATTGGTTTGTTTTTTATTGATTTTAATTTGTTCTCCGTGTAAAAAGTTGGACGTTGGAGGTGATGAGGTCCGGCATGACATAGCCTCCATATCATGGTAAGGACTTGGCATCTAATACTCGTCGAGGCGCCCAGGTATCGACGAGGCAACCGTTCGAAAACAGTCGGTACCCTGACTGCAAACCTTGGAACACTGATGGGCACGGTTTACGTAACACCCCAGAATTAGGGAGTCCGTTACGGCGGACCAGTCCGTTGACTGGATAGTTTAGGAGCGCCAGTGACTTCGCCTCGTCGAGTCCAGGGATCATAGGCACTCGGGTATTTAGCCCGAGACTCTCCCCCCAGAGACTGCTGAGGTGTTCGCGACTGCTTATTTAATTCGCAGCTGCCCGATATATCTATCGGGCGTCCCACTATCCGCAACCTGTGGACGTGTCCGGTAGCACTCAGCTATGTTTCCGCAAGCGGCCGGAACATTAAAAAAAATGTTTTGGCACAAAAAAATTAATTTTTTTTAATTTACTAGCTGGCCCAGTCCACGTTGCCGGCCCGTAGTTTTAGTTTTTAAAGCATAATAATTCACAGATCTGGCTCACATAAGTGGCACAATTTTTAATATAAATGATTAAATATAAATAAATATAAATAATAAATATAAATAAAAATAAGCAAATATTTCAATACAGGTTCATGTTCCGGGATATTTATAGTGTTTCAAAAAATCTGATCTTATTTTTAAGCCAGAGGTTTTAATTTAAATAATATAGCACATATATTAAAAAGTATACATCAACTGTTTATAATAGGCCCATGAGGCCCATAAGATGGTTATATACCCCAAAGTAGCCTAAATACACATTTTAAGCCAAATCGATAAGAAAATATAATCAAAACACTCGAAATAGGTAAAATCATGAGGTACTTTTATATGGGCGCTACTCCGAAACTTTGACATTGAAAAACTTGTGCGAAAAGGTCTTCTACAACTTTAGAAGCTAAGATGTTAAATAAGGGCAAAATCCATTGAAAATGTGACCAAGACCCTGAAAATAGCTGTAATCAACGGATACCTTCATATATGAGGGTTTTACCAAAGCATGGTCCTATACAATATAAAATACAAATTACCAACATTTGAGGAATTTGAAAGGGGCAATGTCATTTGTGGAGGTATATCACAATGTACACCGACCTGACACATATTTTGTACAAATTATTCTTCATGTAACCCCTAGGACTGTATCAAATTTAGCTCTATCTTAACTTTTGCGGAGTATAATGCATTTATGCATGGTTAAGCTCCATAAAATGGACCCCAAAAAGTTTGACCCGGAAATCCCCTTTTGGGAGTTTTATCTACCGACCGAAAAATTTCCCAACCCCATGGTTGGGTCCAGTGTAATTACTGACGATAGCGCATAGTCCCCGTATAACGTTACCTGTTTTTTAAGGTTACTTTTAAGGGTTCGGAAGAAAATATAAATCCTTTGCGTACTAAATTTTCAATTCGCTCCACTATTGTGTATAGTCCGCCAATTAGAGTGCCTCTTCATATTCGGTATTTCACTGATTGATGTCCCCATGAATTTTGCATTTTGAGTTCTCATTGGATTGATTATTTTCATATCTAGTCAATTTTTTGGGGTTTTGGACTTCAGAATCGATAGTAATTTCTAAATTTAAATCCTAGTAATATGTCTTTAATTTAACTATCTATCGGTTTATAAAAGTTAGTGACCCCATTAATAAAATTATGTCCCTGAGCCTCTCCGTTCACCATTTGCAATTAAGAAAGAGGTCACAGGCTTTTATATTATTCTTAACATGATGTTACAAAAGTTATATATTTGCTCTCATTTACATATAGCCCTAATATAATATTATCTCCTAAAATTCGTCAACCAAATGTGCTCTAATTTAGTCTATTTGAGGTACTTTGAAGGACTCAAGAAGTAGAAATGGCCAGATCCTTGGACCCCAAACAGATACCTAGGGTTGGTTGTCAAGATCACGTCGTATATTAATTGTGGAACAGATATCTTCATGATTTTGGCAAA